TGTCTATTTCTGTATAAAAGGGGCCTTTAGCTTTAGGGTGAGGCATTGAAAAAACCAAAGGAAAAATTGCAAAGGTTGAGAGAGCGAGAGGGAGGCAGAGAGGAAGAGTTTGGAAAGAAAAAAAAAAATAGAGGGTGAAAAAAAAAAAAAACACAATGAGAAATACAGAAGCTTGTATCTGGAATTTCAAGAAAATAAAGTTTTGATTTTCCCTATCTTCTTCAAGTGTGCATTGTTCATAATTTATTTTTATCTAATTTCTATGTTTCTGTTTGCCATATATTAATAATTAAATTGTTGGTTTAGATTTGTTTACAAATTTTTGTGAATTTTCTTGCACCCAATAACAATAGGAATTTGTCATCAAGATCTATGTGTTCTGTTATTCTATGGGTATGACTGAAAGTTTAACCTAAAAAAAAAATTAGAATGAAGTTTCTTTTGTTGTCACAGTAGAAGGGGAGGATGGAAAATAACGGATGATTAAGGAGACCTGGATTCAATTTCTAATGTTTACTGTTGTTAGTTATTTACTTATTTTTTTAGAGTTCTGTTGGATTGAAGATGAAGCTTGAATAACATTGAAAATTAAATAAATGAATACGTATAGGAAACTTCTGATTTAGTAAAGTTTTGTAATTAGAAACAATTAGTGTTTCCGATCCTGCAGTGCATGCCGATTTTTGGAATTTCTGGATGTGGTTGATGGTTCTGCAATTTATCAATTGTGCCACGTGGGAATTTTTGGTTTAGGCTAAAATTTGTTTATAGGCCTGTCACTAAGAAAATGCGGTGAAATATTAAAAAGGAAATTGGTATAATCAAAATTCAAATTATGTATTTATTCTTTGTTAATTAAATTTTCGTTGCTTAAATTGATTAGATCTTTTTTTTCTTTTGTAATCTTATTACAAAATTGAAAATTCTCCGAATTTAAAGTATATGGTAACCAGTTACAAAATTGAAAATTCTCCAAATTTAAAGTATATGGTAACCAGTGGGATGCTTAATCACTGGTGTCAATTTTGTATGGTACCGATCGGTATAATTGGTACATATCGATTTTTTCTTTAAACTGAAATGGTACAAGGTGTAATTTCATTTCGGTTAACTTTTGCCTGTTTTAGTCAAATTTTGGTATGTCAATTGGTATTTTGAAGTACTGATCGGTACATCGAAAATGGATCTGCACAGATGAACTCAATTTAAAAAAGGTAAATTTCATTTTTAGTCCTCAACTTTAATGTTTTGTATAATTTTCATCATTTAATTTTTTAATGTATTTTTTAGTCCATCAACTATAAAAATTGTATTTTTTTAATCAATTTAAAGTTAATGTTTTGTATAATATTAAATTCAGAATATTGTTATACTATCTAATACTATCTTAATATTTAAAAAAGGAAAAAATTATGGATGTTTTATAAAATTGATTATTTTAAACTTATTTTCAATTTATAGGAATATGATGGTTTTAAAAATTAGTTTCTCTTATTATTATTTTAAAATTTGATATTTAATTTTAAAAAATATATATTTATAGCAATAAATCTAAAATGGTACACGAAAAATTTTTATATCTAATACATACCATTTCAGTAATAAAACCAACACGATATTAATAACTTTGTGTCTAACACCTTTCTCATGCTTAACCAATCCTTCAATTCTAGTCAATTTCTATGTAGATTTTGATAACCTATCCTATGTCATTTGAATAGTTGGCGACTTCATCTGTTTTGACATGTCAACACCTTTCTTTAATTTGACAAGTTAATTCAATTATATCTTAATAGTTACAATATAAAATAAATAAGGACAAAAAAAAGTAAAGGACAACTTTTATTACACAATTTTTTTCTTATAATGTTTATTAAAAAACATGGAGTATGATAATAATTATAATTTAATGATTATCCCATCTCGCCCAAAATACAAATCATCAACTTTTATCCATGCTTAGATATCCTTGCCCATTACAGAATTCCCACAAATCCAAAGGAACTTTACCAACTACTAGCTAGGGAGGCGGCGAGCATCCGTGTTTTAGCAAAATATTGAGAGGGGATTGATTTATAGATATATTTTAACATTACAAAATTAATTAAATCGACCAAAGTGTAAATCAAAGAAAACCATAAAGCGTCTAATCGCAATAATTTTGTTTGCTGCTCTTTCCACTTCCATGCAGACCAGAGAAGTACCCTTGAGGATTGCTCTCAAAACTGCCCCTAGAGATGTGGGATGAGCCACCACTGGCCGTGGCTACCATCATGCCAGAACCTCCCCCACTACCACCCACCTCCACCTCCTTTGCCATCTCCAGTAGCTAGCACCACCATCACCACCCTTGCCACCCATATTGAGAACTGTAAATGTAAATGTGAATATTGATTAGGTTCAAATGCACTTGTTATTGAACATTATGGGATGGAGAAATGTTTAGTATTTATAGTAGTGGGAGGGAATGGCATTGGCATACCACTACAAGGAGTCTTTAATTAAAGTAGCTGGCTTGTTTAGATTAATGAAACACCTAGGCAAGATAGCTAGATATCTTCTCGTAAATTTGAGAAGATATGAATTCCGGCGTGACTTTATGGAACGTCTCGCTGAGAGCTGCACATTTACCAGGAGTGATAATAATTGAGGCCCCGAGGATTTTCACTTTCTTTTAATTTTTTTACTAGTTTTGGAACCAGATTGGGCCTTCTCAGCCTCTCGAAGGCTCGAACCAATATAAACTCTAACCTTTTTAATTTTGGGTTCGAATTTTAGGAAAAGGGCCGAGGTCACCGGAGACCGCAAAAGTGTTTGGGGCAAAGAGAGGAGGCACCGGACCAAGAGGAAAGTCAACCCATAACCCATAAAAGTTTTGAAACTTAATATTTACTATTTTGCAGTATAAATTATATTAAATTAAAAAAATAAAAATTATTAAAATTGAGGATTCTCAATGTCAGAGGCTTTCTTCTCATTTAAAAATTCATATTTTGTAGTCCTAAACAGTTTTAACTGCAAAAAAGTCTTTCAAACTAATATTCACATTCATTTTAGATTTTTTATTTCATTTATGGGTAGCCCTGGGAGGAAAAAAAATTATGATTAAATTATTTAACTTATGACAATGGAATCAATCGGCAAAACATGAAAATAATATGGTTAAATACCCTTTTTGGTCCCTCTACTATAGGAAAAAGCCCATTTTTGATCCATATACCGAAAAAATCCTCTTTTTAGTCCCTAAATTTCAAAATCCGGCCCCTTTTTGGTCCTTCCGTCAGTTAAATGACAGAGTGGCACTATAATCTGTCAAATATTTTGTCTTTTTTCTTTTTCATTGTTGACGTGTTATTATACGCTAATCAATAGAATGCCACATGGAAAAAATTGATGATATGGACTAAAACAAACTTGATGGCATTTTTCTTTTTTCATGTGATATTTTTTTCATATTTAAATAAAAACTCACATAATTTATTATTATTATATTCTTTTTCTTCTTCCTCCCTTCTTCTCTCTTATCCCTCCGCCCCTTCCTCTTTCTCAACCTTCTTCCTCTGTGAACCCAGTAAGGGGGTTCCATGAGGAACCCAAGACTTGGGTTCATGAAACCCAAATCTGGGTTCCTCGCAAAACCCAAATCTGGGTTCCTCGCGGAACCCAGTAGCGAGTTTCGCGAACCCAGCTATTGGGTTTCGCGAACCCAGTCCCAAATCTGGGTTCCTCGTGAAACCCAGAGGAACCTAGTAGTGGGTTTCACGAACCCAGTTACTGGGTTTCGCGAACCCAGCTCGCGAAACCCGCAAGGAGCCTTGGATTCTTCTTCTTCTTCTTGATCGAACTTTGGGATCTTCGTTCGATTTCTGTTTGTTTTCCTTTAGTTCTTTACCTTCGTTCTTTTGATTGAAACGCATTATGTAGTTTAGATCGTGTTTTCTTTGAATGTGTTACGAAATCGTGCTCGGTTTTGGTTGATTTGCTGTAGAATAGCTGGAAGTATATGGAGATGGAATTTGGAGAGAAAAGGTGCTTTGTTGAGCATAGGCTGTGATGAGCAGGATCCCAGGTGCCTATATTGGTCCCATTCTGATCACAGATTTCAGTTCTTCCACTCGATGAACAGTGTTTAATCTCCATAGATTGGGAGATTTTGTGTTGTCTTCTTCTGTCACGATGGCTGCCTTATCTAGAAATCTACAATTCAAGCATGTATGACATTAAAATTATTTTGTCCATTTCCCTCTCAATCATGTACCTAAGTCCATTATTGCATTTGTCTGCTTTCAGACATCAAACTTGCAACTTGTGTGGTTGTGTTTCATGAACCCAGGTCTTGGGTTCCTCATGGAACCCCCTTGCTGGGTTCGCGGAGGAAGAAGGTTGAGAAACAGGAAGGGGCGGAGGGATAAGAGAGAAGAAGGGAGAAAGAAGAAAAAGAATATAACAATAATAAATTATGTGAGTTTTTATTTAAATATGAAAAAAATATCACATGAAAAAAGAAAAATGCCATCAAGTTTGTTTTAGTCCACATCATCAATTTTTTCCATGTGGCATTCTATTGATTAGCGTGTAATAACACGTCAACAATGAAAAAGAAAAAAGACAAAATATTTAACAGATTATAGTGCCACTCTGTCACTTAACTGACGGAAGGACCAAAAAGGGGCTGGATTTTGAAATTTAGGGACTAAAAAGGGGATTTTTTCAGTACAGAAATAAAAAAGAAGCTTTTTCCTATAGTAGAGGGACCAAAAAGGGTATTTAACCAAATAATATTATGTTTAGTATAGTTGTGTTTAAACAATCAAAATTAATAATTGAAAATTAAATTAAAAATTAAAAATATCAATTTATTGTGTATAAATTTTTTAGAACAAATATTCAAAATTAAAAATTTAATTTTTTTAATAAAAATTATTAATTTTATTCTAAAATTTGAGATTTTTAAAAACTAAAATAAAAAACTACAATTATACTAATAAATGGAGCCTAAATTAATACTCCATTAACAAATCAAAAATATATTTTTCAATTCAAATGGTCTAAAAAGAATTTGTATCATTAATACTTCATATATTAATTTTCTCCCACATTTTTTAATTTGTTCCAGACTAAAAAAATCCTGTACTCTTAGCAAATATTTTTTCAAGTCTTGGGATTTTGTTAATCTCATTCTCATAACATCAATTTTGAATTGTGTTTATGAATAGTGAAATTGTGAGAATCTCTTCAAGTAATAAAAACAGAGGTTTATGTTTCATAAAATAAAAACATAAAAAAATAAGAGGTGTATGCGAAGTCAAGTCAGGAGGAGCAGGACAAAAATAAATTGGGAAGAATTAAAAAATCATAAATTTGTGAAATGGGATCAGTAGTGTTCATTTTTCTTCCCACTGGCCAGATGCGCGGAGTGACAATGATCCAACAACCAACGAAATTCGAGTTTCTATTGTTTCTTAAAGAATTTTTAGATGTAATTCGTCTTGAGTTCCAAGAGATGTGTGGACAGTGATATGGTTTGTGACGGTTTGGTCGCTGTGGCTATGGCGGAATTAAACAATATTCAAGAATGAGGTTAAATACCCTGGCGAGGTGCTTGAACTGATCAAATATATAGAACTCTATCTTGGATTAACGCTAGATCAGGCCTTGACTTGGTGAAGGATCTATGATATAATAGTCCTAGGGAGGCGCTTAATTCACTGATCTGAATTGAGCTTTAATTATTATAAATTAAATTTTTAATTTACATCATATACGTTATTTTTTCATAGTCAATATTTTTAAAAATTTGTATTCTAATCAACACTTTTATAATTTAAAACCATAAAAATCTAAAAATTAACAGCCAAACTTTTTATTTGTATTTTGATTTTGTTGATAATTTAGAGTTTTTTTATATATTTCAAATTATAAAAGGTGTTAATTAAAAATAAAAACTATAAAGAGTGTTAATTATGAAAAAAAAAATATGAAGGGCAAAAATAGAAGTTACAAGGGCACAGAGCACTGCACTAGAGTAACCCTGTTGATTTATTTTGTTTCTTGATTAGCTTGTGGGCATAATTTTGAGGGTTTTCGTTTATACGCATTGTCTAATTATAAGCAATTCCCTTTGTGAACGAGTTTGGATGGAGTGCCCCCATTGTACTCCGTACTTATAGAATTTTACCTTGCCGATCATTCAAAAAAAAAAAAAAAAAAAGTTTTGCGGACCTTGTACCATTGTTTTGAAAACCAGATTGGATCAGTCAGTCGGATTGGTTAGATCAATGCCCAATGTTATAAATGATTCGAATGAGCATTTAGAATTGATGAAGAGATTGAACCATTTAGAACTGATAAAATCCTTTAAACCAATATAAATTATTAAGTCATTCAATGAACGGTTTAAACTTTAAAATTATTGGAAAAGTTTCTTTAGATTTGCCACCTCCAAGATTCAAAGGCAAAACTTAAGGGAGATATTCACTGCCTTTTGTCACTAGGGCATCACTTGTAACTTTGAGATGATTAAGTCAAAATTTTATTTATTTTATTTTTCGTGAGTTGAATTTCCTTTCCTTTATAAAGTTCATCACCCAACGTAATACTAATGAGGGGTTGGATTAAGTGGTAAGCGGTTTGTTGTTTCAGTTTAAGTAAGATCTCGAGTTCGAGACCTTGTGTACGTAGCAGCCCCCGCTGGGAGACTCATCCACCATTTTCAAGTGTACGACGCGAGTCGGGTCCGAATTAGTCAGGGCAAAGCCCTGGATACTGGGCGGAAAACCAAAAAAAAAAAAAAATCACCTAATGATAATATCGTTGACTTGCATATTAAAATTAATATAATATTTATCTAATTTTATTTTATTCATTTTTTTTTGAACAAAATGTCAAGGATGGGATTCGAATTTCAAACTCACCAGGCGGAGGGAGGACTGCACCTTCAAAGTGATCTGAAACCCACTTGGCCCGAAGGGTCAGATGCATCTAATTTTTATTTTAAATATATAAATTAAAAGTGTAAT